GTAGCCTATTATGGAGAATAAAGAAACTGTCATGGCAACCAAGCGTATCCATTTATCGAAAGAGAGACATGTTGTCGCACAGCGTTGGAACGGTCTGACATATATTTGCATCCGTGAATACTACCGAAAAGAAGACCGTGGAAAATTTTTCCCTAGTAGAAAGGGAATTAATCTTCCTATAAATCAATGGTATCAAATGCTACGACGATCTAATGAAGTTGAAGATATGCTACAAGAGATCAATGGTACAGATGAATGTGGTATTGGAACGGATGAAAACGACAATGGGAAACATCCCAACGAAACAAATGGTGATGAAAATACCAAGCGTTACAAGATTATCAACAATGTTTTAGTTGCCCCTGATTGTTCATGCACGTGCTCGACTGGGATGTGTGAAATCTGCGTATATCGACACACTTGTCCCGGATGTTCATACTGCTTAAGCCCGAATGATGGAGATAACAGATGTTAGCAACCGATACAATTTAACTATGTTTAATTATTAAAGTCGAATTCAAAACGAAAGAGGAAACACGCAGAAGAAGAAAAATAAAAAAGTTGATGACGCAAAATTCCAACAACCAGCACATTTGGATAAATCAGTATGAAGAAGTGTATGTTGATTGATAAGGGGAAAAATATGCCGGTAATTAGAGACTATTTCAGCTCTAGTTTTCTGATGCGAAATCATTCATCAATCATTACAAAACCATCGAACTCTATATCAGTATTCTTCGTCGAAGTTGAACTGAATTACTTTATCAATAAATATGGCTTGCTCTTCATACAATACTCAACGAGGAACCAATCCTGATTATTAGTGATGACAAGATTCCTTTGATTGATCTTACTTCTTTAAATGAGGAACCAATCATTATAAGCAGCAGCAGCGATGATGAGGTGTACTTGAGAATGAATGAACCAATTGTGATTAGCAGCGATGACGATATACCAAATCAATCATTCGTATTACTGAAGAAGAAATCCTAAATAATCCTACGTACGATATATCTGACTACCATTGTTACTTGGCGGCGAATCCCGAAACGGCATACGACGACAATGTGTTTGAGGAAAGAAACGTCCAGGATATCCAAGCTGATGAAATGATGGTAAAGGAAATGACAGCATCCATATTCATTGAACATTTTTTAGCTCTGCTAAATACGCTGATTAAAAGAGACTGTTATGGATGTGAGTTCGATAGAGCGAGTCAACTAGACCATGACATATGTTTAATGATGAGCTCTTACGAACAATTAAGTAAATATTTCGAAACAATTTTATATGACTCGTTTATAGATGATCAAGCTATGTATGATCAGTGGATCGATGAACAATATCTATATAGATGCGAAGATACCTTCCATCATTTTTTGCTATTGATTCAGTCTGATATTAATTTGTTTGATAAAATTAAATGCATGGAGCACATAAATATGTATTATTTTTATTATTATTATTATTATCATTATTATTATTATTATTATTTTTATTAATCTGTGATTTTCTAATGTAATCATTTTCAATAGTGTGTGTGTTTGCAAAAATAAATCTATGGAAAAATGAATTTATTGTTTGCGAAGTTATTTATATTGCGTGTTGTTTGCGTGACTGTTTCATTAAAGCGAGTGAGAGAAATGGGTATGGATGAGAAATTGAGAAAAGTGTATTACGATCCTAAACACCCAGGCAGTTTCGGAGGTGCAGAACGACTTTATAAGAACGTGAAAGATGAATTAAATATTACTAAAAAGCAAGTACAAGATTGGCTGAGCAGCCAAGATACATACACATTACATAAACCTATTCAACGACGTTTCAATAGAAATAGAGTATACGTAACAGCTATAGATGAGCAATGGGAATTGGATCTCGTTGATTTAACAACTCTAAAACGCTACAATAAACAATATAGATTTCTCATTACATGTATCGATGTATTATCGAAATATGCTTGGGTTATCCCTATTAAGAACAAATCTTCCGATACAATGTTGAATGCTATAAAGAAACTGTTATCGGGTAAAAGAAAACCTCTAAAAATTCATACAGATAGAGGTTCAGAATTTACAAACAAAAATGTTCAAGCATATCTTAAATCGCAAGACATACATTTCTTTACGACAAACAATGAAACAAAGGCTAGTATTATTGAGCGTTTTAACAGGACATTAAAAACGAGGATGTGGCGATATTTCACGTCTAAAGGTACCAATAAATACATCGATGCGCTGTCCAAACTTGTTTCTAGTTATAACAATTCAAAACATAGATCTATTGGCACAGCGCCTACACTCGTAACAAAAGAAAACGAACATGAAGTATGGCAAACTCTATACGGAAAGAAGCAACGAGCCAAGAAACAGAGGTTTAAGTTTAAAATCGGTGATCAAGTTCGTATTAGTAGATATAAAATGCTTTTTGAGAAAGGTTATCTAGCAAACTGGACGGAAGAAATATTTACAATATTCAATCGTAAAGGAACGTCTGTTCCAACGTATAAACTAAAAGACTGGAATGGAGAAGAAATCGATGGTACTTTCTATGAGAAAGAATTACAAAAAGTTTCTAAAAATTATAAAGATACCTATCGCGTGGAAAAGGTCTTACGAAAGCGAAAACGCAATGGTAAAACGGAGTACTTTGTTAAATGGTTAGGATACCCTTCAAAATTCAACAGTTGGGTTCAGAATCTAGTCAGATAAGCACAATGGCATCGCAGTTCTATATTACGCTACCAAGCAATAGCTCGATGAATTATTTTCCCGAAAATACACTAACCAGTTACACTACAAAATTAACCGAGCCCATACGCCTTAGCGGACAGTGGGAAGTAGGTTTAGCCGAAATACAATATCCACATTCGTGGTTTAATGCAGATGAAACAAACAACAAGTTTTATGTGAAAACAGAGACGATCTATGACATAGTTATTCAAAGTGGCTATTACACTTCGGGGAATAAACTGATTGATGAAATTAACAGTACATTGAAAAAGTTAAATATAGATGATAAAATACAATTCAGATTCCTCCCTACTCCCGAGAGAGTTGGTATATCAACCGGTGTACATGCAAGTATTCAATCCTTAGGAGGAATACAAACGTTACTTGGAATCGATTTAGATTCGATACCTGAACTATCAGAAATTATAGGTAAAAGACCTATAAACCTTCATTATCAAGTGCCCTCTTTGTACGTGTATACCGACATTATGGAATATCAGCGAGTAGGTGATGCTAGCGCACCTCTGTTGAGAATTTTACAAACCAAGGAAAGTCATATGAAAAAAGAAGCTTCTCATGAATACGTAATGCCTCACTACAAGCACGTATTTTGTATGAAATTTTTCATTAGTGTTGATCCAGCAAAATAAAAACCAATAGTACTCACACTACGTTTCGCGAACGATCCGTTCGCTTTTTCAAGTAGACTGGTGATGAACGTTTCGCGAACGATCCGTTCGCTTTTTCAAGTAGACTGGTGATGAATAACATCCCCAGTCCTGTCTCTTATACACATCTTGTTACACTAATGAAAAATTTCATACAAATTATATTTGGATCCAAATAAATTTATTTAAAAAAAAAAAAAATACAAGCACGTAGTTAAAAAAGATATCGATACTATAATGATAGATATAAGGAGCGATACTGGTGAGAAAGTATCATTTCAACGTGAAAAGGTTTTAGTGAAACTACATTTTTGTCAGAGTAGATCGTCTTATTTGGTATAATGGTCAACGCTTACGAAGATTATTACATTGGGCAGGTAGGGGACTCTACGATACCTGTTTTTCAAGGTACTATGGACCAAAGAGGAAACGGTCTTGGGGGAATGTTATCGGGTCTATTCAAACAAGCTGTGCCTTTTTTGAAGAAAGGGGCCAAGGCACGGCGGTTTCATACGCACTATATTGGGACAATAAGTGTTTTCAACGCGCCTTTCATATATTTACGCACCGCAAGCCTCGAACGAACACACTCATGTCGCGATTGGGATCGTGCGAGCCTAGCGGAACTGCATTTTTTGGTACATAGTAGAATCTGTCTCTTATACTATCCCCCCATTCATGTTCTGTTTGTCTAATTATTATATCAGCTACTAAACAAAATTTTTGCAATGCATGAATTTATATAAAAATCATGAATTTTAACAAGAAAAGTAAGGCCGGTCTACAGTAAAAACAAACGACGCCCTAACTCCGTAAATGTTAATATCGCTAAACATGGTCGTAATTATCGTCGTTTTACAAAATTGTGCAACTTTTCTGGATGTTAGCGTTGGTCGCCAATGAACAATCAGTATTTGTTCTTGTATTCTGTGAAATATTGGCCTGACAACTTCTTCCAATTTAAAAAAATTTTCGATTGAAAACAGCAAATATTTTGGCTGTACTAGGCGTTCTTGACAACTCCACGGGCTCATACGCGCAATTTTACGCGTTGTTTATACATGCGCTAGGCCTAGATTGAGACCTAGATTTTATTGGGGTTTTGGATAGGCTTTGCTGCATTAATGTTGTTAAATGTTAAAAGTATAATTGTATAATATATATATATATATATTATTTTTATTCAGCTAATATATGATAAATACAGGCTTGCATTGAATAACGTTTTATATTTTGATGGCAATAATTAGGATGGCTCTAAAATAAAGACAATTTAAAATATACATAAATGTAAACAATGATCCAATATTCATCTGTGAAAATAGCCAGTATCATTGACAATCATCATTCTTCTTACACCTTAGTTTACAAATAGACAAAAACATTATGTTCTACATGTTATATTTTTAATGAACAAAATAAACCTTTAAAAAATACAAAAATACAAATTAAACCGAAAGGTCCACTGATTAATCTCAGATACAGATAGAATAATACATACTCAAAGTTTAGGGATTCAATACTTTGATATTAATTATGTCATCATCAGGAATCCAAATTAAAGGTATGCAATCAGGTTAATACTGACAGTTATTTTTGTACAAATATATTCAATATACTCACACTATATTATAGTACTGCACAACAAAATATGTTATTGCGCTTTGTGTTAATTATGTGCAGTAATTAGTGTGTATATTTATTTTCATTAAAAGGGTATGGGGTTTTAAACAATCTGTTCTCAATAGTAAGTTGATTCAGAGAAAATATAAATTTCCCATTATCTGAAAGTCCCAGGTCTCTTCAAAAATGCAAACAAGAATACTAAACAAAATTGTATGTAACAGCAGGGATACAGAGACAAAATGACGAGTCCATCTGTTTCCATGTAGCTTGCATATCGATTAAAACCGGATAGATGTAAACATATCTCACCATAGTACCTGATTTTCATTTTACGTCGTAACAATTAAAGAAGCTGAAAAGATAAATATAAATATATTTTAATTAGGCAATACATAACAATATAATTCATTCTAGGCAATGGAAAGTAAAATATTTTAAGTGTTAATTATATTGTGCGCTCACTTTTCCCTTGGTTTCAGTCTCAGCAACATTTTTTTTGTTGTTGTTGTAATGGTCATAAATTATTATTATTATTATTATTATTATTATTATTATTATTATTATTATTTCATAATAGTTTGGGAATACAAGTACAGTAACATTCCAAAACATAAAAATAAAAAAAATAAACACCATACATTGAAAAAAGGGGGCAGCATTTAAAAATGGACAACCAAGTTAATGCTTAGGAAGACTGGCGCTTGCTACTAGTAAAGGTCTTCCAACAATATAACCAAAACGGATATCAATGAAAATACAGCATTTGATATACTGTATTTAAGAACATGCGATGTGATTTATAAAGCATTATTGTGATGATACATAATTAAAAAAAAAAAAAAACATTGTACAAAAGTAGAATAATTCTTATTATTTAAAATACCTTAATATCTGTCTTAGTACCATTTTTCTGCTGCTCTCCATGAACACCATTCAGCTGCTCTTTCCTTTATGTTCAAATTGATTATCTCCATGATGTATTTTGTCAGCTCACTTGTATCTTGTTTAAAATTAAAAATAAAAAGTTATTATTGCCATTTTTATTTTCATTAAGAAATTATGACAGAACATCAGACATTAATAATACCACCAAACTTCAGATACTAAAAATGAAATTTCAAAGTATAATAATAATAATAATAATAATAATAATAATAATAATAATAATAATAATAATAATAATAATAATAAATCAAATATTTTTGGACATTTTAAAATTTCAAGATAAATGTTTTTATAAAACTTGGGGTCTGAATAATCCTAAAAATATGTCTATAGCGAATAGACTATGCCTAGCGTAGGCCTATTTCACGTGAGAGCATACAGCGTATACTTAAAATTTAAATACCCTCCGGGCCAAACATTGTTTACTTTCACCTAAGCCCAGGCCCGTAGCGTAGGCTAATTTTAGGGAGCCTAGACCTAGTTTTGCCTATGGAAGACTACTAGAAACATTTGAATTATATTTTTAAAACATATTAGTTATCTTGTCTGTGTTATTTATTACGCCATAAACGTCTAAAAGGTAGACATTCTAGGCCTGCCTAGGCTAAACACGTGTATTTTAAAGGCCAAACACGGTCATTTTTAAACTTAAAATAAAATTTTTACCGAAACAGTTGTCAGAGAGATTTTTTAGAGGATAATGCAGAAGTCAAATAGTAATAACATGGAGCAAGTTGCAATGTTTCAAAAATTTGCAAAAATTATTTATAGCCATGTAAACTTTACATGCCAGATTTTCTTAAGTTTTGGGTGAAAAATATGGAATAAATTCAAATACTCACACGTAAAATCAGGAGCCATGACATCGTACCTATGTTATACTACGGAACTGCTTTGCATGTCTTCTTCGATAATATCATGAATATTAATTATTTTTTTTAACTTTAAAGCTGTTGGTTGGTCATTTAAAAACTCATATATGGAGAATAATGAAAATATCGCTTCCGCGTTAGCGCCCTTAACTATGAGAATATCTAAAATGTATAATAGTGACCAACAGAGGGCTCACTACTTATTGTCTATATTGAAACCGCCGTGAAGGCATTGGGAAAGCAAGCTTTACGCACAGGTGCAGAAATAGCGGGTGATGTAATAAGCGGGAGAAATGTTAAACAAGCGACCAAAGAACGTATAGTACAGGCCGGTAAACGGATTGTTTCTCAGACGGGTCGAGGAAGATTAAATAAAAAGAGAAAACATAATCATAAAAACACCAGTCGAAGGAGAGCTAAGAGAGCGAGAAGAACCTCCGATATTTTCGAATAATAAAAATATTCACCATGTCTTACGTACACAAAAACTCATGCGAATGCCTCAAATCGGAATTGGATTTGTTTTCCGTTCCACCGACTCAAACTAGTATTACAAAAGGGCATTGGGTGGCCTACCACCCATTTACCTCGATTTCTGATTCTGGTCCGTTACAATTCAATGTACAGGGCTCTAGTGAGGAATACGTAGATTTGTCTCAAACTATGCTACGTGTTAAAGTAAAAATCACGAAACCTGATGGGACAGATTTAGACGACGGAGACCCAGTTGGGCCAACCAATTTATTGTTACAATCCTTATTCAGTGAAGTTGATATTTCGTTGATTGTTGGACCACGTGATGGTCATGTACTCCAGAAAGAAGAACGTCTGTCGCAGACATCGATCCAGAGCGGCGACGTTGGCGAGACCCCGCGCAACCCTCAGACGCCAGGACTTGGAAGCCATCGAGATCAGGTCTTGGGAGTAACTTTTCAATTTATCCTCGGCGTATCTGAACGGAACAAGAGAATCTCCGTACCTGAAACAGAATATGTTCGGACGACTCGAGAGATCGGCGTGCCACTCGGCGACGGCATCTTCGTCCGAGTCGCGCGTCAGGTCGACGGGTTGGATGTCGTCGACTTCGTCGAGGTCGACGAAAGGGAACACGTAACCTTTGGCGAATATATCCTCCTGCGTCTTCTGTCCGACGCCGGCGACGTGTCCGTGAAAATCGGAACCCAGGAAGGCGGTCGCGATCAGGGTGTTGAGGCAAACTCTCGTTTCGCTTGCGAACCAGGAGGGCGTCCGATTGCATTGCGGTCAGCGTGACTATGCAGTCGCTGTCGCACGTCTCCATGAGGATGTTGGACGAAAGCACGTTGCCGCCAAACTTGAGCAGGTCGTGCACCACGCCGAACAGTATGTCCGACTCCGAATACAGACTCCATTCGGGAAGCAGACTCTCGAACTCCGTGCACCAGGGAATCGCGGACTCGGGTCCGATGAGTCGGAACCAGTCGCGTTCGGCGGACTCGTCGAAGCCGGCGCCGGTGATCACGTACGCTGCGTACGGTCGGTCGTGCCACCTGCTCTCGAGCAACGCCGATCGCAGGTGTCCGATCGTCCTGCTCTTGTTCCTGTTCGA